ATTAGCACAATATATGATACATTTAAACTTTCAAGGGGTCCATTATGTCTCATGAGCCCCTGTTTGATAGGTCAGTAGGTTTTTTAACGTTTTATATTACCCATCGTTTTGATGATACTGAAAAGAGGGAATGCTCTACAAAATGTCGAACATTGTAAAACAATAGCCAGCCTAATCTCCTGCAGTCCAAAACACAAATATATATTAAGGGTACGATCACATAAGAGGTAGAAAAGCAGCATAGTGCAATATTTGCAGATGACTTTCTTATTAAATAAAATAAACAGTCAAATAATGATCCTATTATTTCAGCTCTTCTGTTTTTAATTATTTAAAAAGCTCTACATAATGATGCCATCACACTTAACAGAAGTAATTAGTCAAGAGGGCTTCTAGAGTTCAACCTATAGGCGCCCTCGTTAGGCATGAATGTTGTGGGAATTGGGAATACTGTACAGTGTGTGCATTACGACTGCTTGTGCATTATTTAGACGCACAATAAAAGTACATACACTACATACATCATAAACAAACCACAGATGGAGATTTATGTTGTCAGGCAAGAAACGCATTCACGGAGTAAAGAAGATGGGGAGAAAACAGAACAAAAGGAACACAAAGGGGACCCGGCAACAACAATGGCGCTTCATTCAACATATTCCCATTTCAATCCAGATTTCAACCTGACTTCTCTTCACCGGAGTTCCTTTCTCACCTGCGCTGCAACCCTGGACCTATATAGACGTTACCCAGAAGAGCAGAATGTGAAACCCAAATATCCCAACGATTTGAACCGGACATTGACCAGACTTTCCCCTGCCAGAGTCCCAGAACTAAATCTGTGAAATGTCAGATTGAGCCCATCTGTGAATTGTCCGGATGATTCACAATGACTAAGTGTTGATGTTTTTATTGCGGTTGGCTTTGGATAACAAACACTACCGTTACTGTAATAGTGTATTTACAGGTCTCTGACCAAAACAATAAGAGTAGAACACATCACCCCAGTACTCAGATCTCTGCACTGGCTACCAGTAGCTTACAGAATCGATTTTGAAATTGTATTGGTAACTTATAAAGCATTCAATGGTTTGGGACCCCAATATATGTCTGACATGCTGCCCTGTTACGAGCCCCCCAGAGCTCTGAGATCATCGGGGGCGGGCTTACCCATTATTGTTCCCCGGCTCAGAACCAAACACGCCGAAGCTGCTTTTAGTTTTTATGCTTCCCCACAAAGTGAACACACTTCCAGAAAACCTGAGGTCTTCACCAACGCTGAGTTCTTTTAAGTCGAGGCACTACTTTTTAGAGCTGCTTACCCAGAAGCCTTTTAACTTGTTTTAGCACCTACTGTATTTACAATGTCGTTTTTAAACTATTTTGTATCTCATTAATGCATTGTTTTTATGAATCTGTTATTCCATTATGTTTATTTATTGTCTTACTATTATGTGTTAATGAGGATGTAAAGCACTTTGAATTGGTGATGAAGAAGGGGAATTTACATAAATACGGCAACTAAAGTGTCCAACTGATAGGACGATTAGATGTGGGAACTTTGGTCGAGAAGGGCTGAAGTCACAATTGTGATACTATAGAATAACGATAGTCATGAATATCTATTTATACAGGTCATGAATCCCTGACTAAGCTTCCAAGTATTGCTTACCCCTAAAGGTATAAGAAAGAATAGAGATAAGAAGAGGTAAGGTTTTTTCAGAAGATGAGAACTACGACATTCTGGTTGGTTGATCAATAAGCTCCCATCAAGGTCTCAGTGGAAAGAATACAGCATATTTAGGGGGGTCGGGGTGGTTGATTTATACAGAAATATTGCGAGTTTGGTGAAGCGGATTGGCTCTATTAATAGGTTGGATGGGCGAATGGGTTAAAAAAAAAACCTGGCGCTGCACATCACAACACAAAGGGATATTATAATTGGTATATTTCCTGTTAGGTCTAATAAATAGCATAATTGTTTGTTTTTAGTATTGCCTTTAGAAGTGCCTTGTGTTTAAATGATAAAATTAGTACACTTGCATGGAAATCCACTTTGCTTTGGTGTTTTTATTTTTTGGAAATCATATGAATGAGTGGAAGTAGATACTGATTGGCTTTGAGTCTGTTATTGTCATTTAGGTATAATGAATAACGCAAAATCTATTCAAATGCTACATTAGCCTATTTAAGTTTATTTATAAATAATTGAGGTTTCACAAGTAGAATTCACTGCAGCTTATACAGTTAATTTAGAGTTTAATGGCTTTTCATTTGTACTTCTACCCACATAGATCAATCGATGGCTTGACAAATGGGTTGTAGTTTAGGCGACCAAATGAGATCACCTCTGACATGATCAATCTCCTGTGTTGAGCTACATGTGTGAAAGGGCAAGCCTAAACCTGATGTGTGGAGTTCAAATAAGAAAACTGGTAAAAGACAAAACGGAGAAACAGAGACAAGAGAGAAATGTTCTGAATTGAGTGGGACAGAGTGATCAAGAGGGAGCAATTGAATGTGTGAGAGAGAAAGAAAGAGAGGGAAATAGAGACAGAGGTGGGAAGGGAGGAGGAAGAAGAGGAGGTGATGATGGTGGGGGGAGGGACTGGCTGTGCACAATAGGCCCAGACATGAATGCTCCTCGACATTCATTTCCACACATCCCCTTCAATTTCAACTCTCTAATGGAACTAGAGATTCTCTGCACCCACTTATACTGTGCACCAAGCGCACCGACACACACACACAAATGCACTAACACACACACGTGCCATTAACACACACACACATGCTTATAAACACGTGCCATTAACACACACACAAATACATATGCGCTAATAGAAGGGCACCACATCAACACTTAGGCAGTTGCAAACCACACACACAAATGTACAATATCACAAAGACTTTTGGACACACAGATTTGAATCCACACACACACACACACACACACACTTTCATTCCTTTCAGATAAAGGAAAAGGGTGGGATGAACCGCACACATAAGTCTCAGCCTGTGTGTTTGTGTGTGCACCACAGCCATCTTGTGCATCCTTACTCAGTGTGTGTGTGTGTGTGTGTGTGTGTGTGTGTATGTATGTGTGTGTGTGTGTGCACCACAGCCATCTTGTGCATCCTTACTCAGTGTGTGTGTGTGTGTGTGTGTGTGTGTGTGTATGTGTGTGTATGTGTGTGTGTGTGTGTGTGTGTGTGTGTGTGTGTGTGTGTGTGTGCATACATGTGAAGGTCTTTAAATCATGGGAGCTGCTACTTCTGCGTGACCATTTGTCAAAGCATTCTCGGCTCTCCCAATATGGCTGTCAGCGCGCACCGTCAATCATAAAGACGGTGTGTGTGTGTGTGTTAGTGTGGAGAGGCAGCGCCAGACGAGGTCACCGATAAGGGCTAGCCCTTTAGAGGCCCATCGCTCTCTCCCTCCTACAGGCTGAGCATAAATTACTCCCCCGGCTTCAGCCACACAAACTGTTGTACGGATATCGCCTCCTCACCCCTCTGCTGCCTTTTCAAAATGGCCAACAGATTCTAGCTGCACCGTCTACATTCAGGAAGGGTCTCTTAAGATATTAGCTGGAAGTTTTATTATAGTTTTATTTCATGGCCATTCTTATAAAACAAAACATGTACACTTTAAGCTGTTTTTTTTGTAGTACTTGATGGAAAGGAGCAGGTTATTTTACCCCTTGCTTATAACCAATACTTACAGTGACACAAAATCAAAAGTCAACACAACAATCTAAAATCAGTGCTAGCTGACATCCTAATACTGTCTAATTATTCTTTCCTTAAATCTAAAATATGTTCATACAGCCCTTTGAATCATTTGGTAAAGAATTTCACCGTTACCACGATGCACTTTGCCAAATCAATTTCCAGAAATGTAAATGATTCCCTCATTCCCTAAGTTGGATGATAAAATTCACATCTTCTTACACACTTCATCACTGATTTGGCAACAGCCGGGAAAGCTAACCCCCTCGGCGCGTGCATATCTACACACAGCCTCAGGTGGCATCATTCAAACGTCTCCGAACACTCCCAAAGTGAAGGGAGATTATCTCTGTAATTCACACCTGCCAATCAGTGAGCTGCAGGTGTACATGGGGGTTGGGGGTGGGTAGTTGGGAACGCACAGCTGTGTCTGCATCAACAGAATAACAACATGAGGTGTTATTTTGGACGCTCAAGGTTCTGTAAAATAAAATACTTTTTCTCTGCATAGCTGATGTTAGGGGAAGGGAAGCTGGAACACTGCCAAGGTTTTGATGGCCATGAAAGTCTATGAACATCTGCAATGAGGGTATGCGATAGGGCTGCTCGATTATGGCAAAAATCATAATCTCGATTATTTGAGTCAATAATTGATATCACGATTATTAAAAACGATTATCCATTTACTTTGAAAGCATCCATTTATTGAAAAAGTATGTTTTTAACAGTTGATTACCGTGAACTTTAAGTATAATTCAACTGAAAAACCAATAAAAAAATAAAATAAATAATCGTTTTATTTCGATTATGTTTTTTTCATAATCGTTGCAATCCAAAATCGTAATTGCGATTAAAATACGATTAATTGAGCAGCCATAGTATGCGATGAAGGATTGGTAGTCCTTGACACTTTGTACACTCATCGTCAAGATTCAAAATGATGCTGTCTGAATCACAAATGGTGGGATGAAATAACAAAAAACTCACTTCTGTATTAGTTTAATTCGACAAATCTGGTTCTTTTGTTCCAAGTTGTGAAATTGCAGTTAATCTTATACATTGGTTTTTCCAAAGCACTTCAAAGGGAATGTGCCCTATCACACAGCTGGTTTTAGAGGTGTTTTCCTACTCACTGTCGCACCAAGTTGCCATTTTATTCCATCGCATGGTACGCCACTATTGTCCACCACGCATGGACTCGCATCAGGTTTGTATTTTATGTGATGGGAACAGAAGATATTTGTATAAAATGATTCAATCTAAACTCACCTGTTTGTGCATCTCAATATTGAGCCCGTAGGACATCTCGTAATACTGGGAAGAAAAAGAGGACACAGCGTTACAACATAGGCATCAAATAACTGTAACAGACCATCTTCTTAAACTACACTGAACAAAAATATAAAACGCAACACTTTTGTTTTTGCTCCCTTTTTTCATGAGATGAACTCAAAGATCTAAAACATTTCTATATACACAAAATAACCATTTCTCTCAAATATTGTTCACAAATCTGAAAAGATCTGTGATAGTGAGCTCTTCTCCTTTGCCGAGATAATCCATCCCACCTCACAGGTGTGCCTTAGGCTGGCCACAATAAAAGGCCACTCTGAAACGTGCAGTTTTGCTTTATTGGGGGGGTCTGGGGGGGTCCGAAAACCAGTCAGTATCTGGTGTGAGGGGTAGGGTTAGGGTTAGGGTAATGTTGTGAATCGAGTGGCCCGTGGTGGTGGTGGTGGGGTTATGCAGGGCTCGACATTATAAATGGCCCGCTGGCCCGGAAGCACTATTTAGACACCGCGGGCCAGCATAGGCATAGCGTACTTTCCACTTGCCCGCTCGGGCCACTAAAATATTGTTTAAAAAAAATTGTTTCCTGTGGTATTGGTATTTTGACTAGCAATTTAGTTAAATTGTTTCGTTTATCAACGCTACAACATAGCGTTTCGTGAGTCGCTTGTCGTTGTTGGGTGAAAAGCAAACAGCTGTTTGCTGCGGAGCGCAGCGGGAGCAGGCTCCCGTGAGCGTGAGCGGGCTCCTTCACTACAGACTATCGCGCCACCTAACCATTCGCCAAAATGTTTTTAATACCAGCGGTAACCGGCCAAGCGCCGGGCAAAAAACAATCTTCAAATAAAAGAAAGTCACCGGAGGAGTTCAAGGAGAGTGACAGGGAGTATGAGAAGAAGAGGGAGAGAAAGTTTCAGCCAGCTTGATCGATGGAGTTGGCTTCTAGTGGTGCAGTGACGCATCCTAAAACCCTTTTATAATCTATCGATTAGATTTATGATTCGAACATTATAAAAGTAGGGTAGACATGTGGAGATTATCCGGCTGAACAAAACGTGCATTTATCAAACAGGTTTGTTTTCCACAGACCTTATTTCGAGCTATTTTCCAAAACCCTGTGGAGAAATCCCATTGCTTTCTGTCGAGGGAACCAGCAGCTTACTTCCTGGTTTTAGGATGCGTCACTGCACCTCTCAATATGATGCCAATATAAACAAGGTCTTCTGTCGGCTCTGTACATCAATGCCGACCTATGCTGACAAGTAAGTGAAGAGTAGACAATATAAAGGTATTGGCTTTAGGGAAATGTCCCAGCAGTTTAGGATAATGAAGGATCTAATCTGATCTATAGCCATTACATTTCTAACTCCTGATGACAGGAAGGCAGAAAGTGCATTATACAAATAATAATACTCATAATAATAGCAGACATTTTTTAACAATGACCACAATATCATTATTTTAATAAACCAAATATGAACAATTGAGGAAAATGAGGAAGAACTGATGATTCAAATGTTGTAGTACAAGTAGTAATGTAGTTAGTGCATAAATTACTATTGCAACAAATGTGTTAATTTTCTTCATTATTAGTAGATTGTTTTTGGACGAACGCTCCGGGCCAGTGGTTACAATGGTGGGGCCAGTGACAATACAATTCCACCGGCCCGGAGGGCCAGTGGAATTTTTACCCTTAATGTCTACCCCTGGGTTATGGTATGGGCAGGCGTATGTTATGGACGACGAACACAGGCCACTCGATTCAGAACATTACCCTAACGCCAACCCTACCCTTTTTGTTCAGTGTAAATTAGGCAACGATTGCTGTGAGGGACCGATCGTGTGCCGTTCACCTGATGTATGTTTTAGTGATATACAGTATGACTATAACAATGTGAAGTCAGAGTAGTGCTTCCTGGTAACTCTAACTGTACAAATGTGTCACAATTTTAAATATTTTTTTAGATTGAAATCTAAGTGATACAAATTATTCTTCATCACGTTGTACACAGACACAAAGAGAAGAGAAGACACACGGTGACGAAAAGGAAAAGGAACAGAGAGAGAAAAGGCGAGAGTAGAGAAAGAGCCTCTGTAGTGAGTGAGTGAGTGTGTGTGTGTGTGTGTGTGTATATGTGAGTGAGTTCAGTGTTAATGAGAGGGCCACCCTCTAGGCGTCAACCCTGTTAATCACCCACTCTGTCTGCAGGGGGGGGCTGGCTCTGTCACTGGAAAACAAACACACAGATCTCTCACACATAAATGTGCACGTACATACAAACACACACACATTTCTGTCAATCACTTGCTCTGACTCACACACACACACACAATTGTTGTTTTCTATTGGATCTCACACTGACACTATCTTGTACGGGCAAGCACATGCATAGACACACTAAACACACACTCACACACACTTTTTCTCTGTAGCTGCTTGCGCCCACGCGGAAGCTCCCTAAAGTAATTACAGCGCTGGGGAAATGGAGGTGCTGCCGCCGGCCGGGGGAGTGGGGCAACCTGATATGCTATTAGAGAAGGAGTGGGGGAGGGGGGGTGCTCGTTGTGGGGATACAAGGCCGGGCTTGCCACTGATGGAGTGGAAGTGCGATTGAAAGTGTGTGTGTGTGTGTGTGTGTGTGTGTGTGTGTCAGTGGAGGAGGAGGGATGAGCTGTATTGCGTTCATAGCTCAATTTTATCGCAACATTTTGAGCTGAATGTGAAGACGGTTTTGACTAAAGAAAATCCCTTTGTATTTCACATAAAGATATTACATAGAACTTTATGAAAATAAATGATTCCCCAAAATGAATTGAGCGTCCGTGCACATTTAGGTTACAACTAGAGTCAAGCCAGGTTTATACTGCCGCCTCACACAAGTATCAAATTCCCAATGAGGAACGAACAAGAAAAACAAACGTGGGGTACAACGCCGAATCGTACACAACGTTGCAGAAGTGTTTCATTGGTTTGCATTTCATCCACTCTTTCACTGGGTGACATCAGATTTGTGCTTGTGGTAACCATGGCTGCAGGCAGTTGCATTTATAAGAAGGCGACAAACATTGTCTTCTATTTTAAGAATGGTGTGGCTTTGAATCATATATGCTTTTACACATTTACTTAAGAGGGATGACAACAGTGTGTTATGCTAAACCAATAATCGTAGTTTTAAGCTTAAGAACAGACTTTTTTTTTCTTCTTTCTGTTAAGGTGGATAATAGATCAGAGTGCATTGAACCGAGGCGCACTACTGGAGTGTGCAGCATGGACTGCTAGACTGGGAAATATAACACAATTAATGAGAATAAGATTATAAAAGATTGGATATTAAACTTTGATGAAAAAGGTAGGACCTATAACAGATCCATACTGAGCTGGTAAATCCTACACAGAACAGAAACAACAGAGAGCTGAACTTCCCCGTAACACTTTCAATGACCGTGTATTTTTACGGCTGTGTCTGGTTTCTCTTCGTGTTTTGATTTGGCACCCATTAGGCCAAAGAGTAAACTAGAAGCAAAGCACTGGGTTTAAAAAATATCCCCAGCTGCAAGCCTTGCACTTTAGTGAACTACAAACGGATCATTACAAATACCAAACCATGACGGAAACTCTTCATTTTCCTTTCCGTAGCGATAGCATCAGCCTGCAGGCTAGCACACATCCTGCTGGACATTAATGCTACCATCAAAGAAATCATGTCAACTGGAGGAAGGTTCTGCAAACCAACTAAATGCTAAATACACTCCGCTCCTCCGCTCCCTTCACTGGCTTCCGGTAACTGCTAGAATCCACTTCAAGACACTGGTACTTGCGTACCATGCTGCGAATGGATCTGGCCCTTCCTACATCCAGGACATGGTTAAACCGTACACCCCAGCACGTGCACTCCGCTCTGCATCAGCCAAACGACTCGCTGCCCCCTCGCTGCGAGGGGGACCCAAGTTCCCATCAGCAAAAACACGTGGGTTTGCTATCCTGGCTCCAAGATGGTGGAATGAGCTCCCCATTGACATCAGGACAGCAGATAGCTTACACACATTCCGGCGCAGACTGAAAACTCATCTCTTTCGACTCCACTTCGAGCGATAGAACTGTTAACAAAGCACTTATATACTAATAAAGGACTGGCTTATCTAAAGCCAGTTGAGTAGCACTTGAAATGTTTGGCTCTATGAAACCTGATGTACTTTATGATTCTGTTTTCTTCAAGGTTGTGTCTTCCTGGTCGAATGTACTTATTGTAAGTCGCTTTGGATAAAAGCGTCAGCTAAATGCAATGTAATGTAATGTAAATTCAACAAGCACTTTCATCTCGATAAAAATAAACTAAATGTAAAATATCTAAACTAAAAAACGTGTCCTGATGTTTTTTGATCATATCCGATGTTCTCCTGTCTGTTTCCTGACATGTCTGTGCTGCTGCTATCGGGCCGGCATTGAGTGTAGTGTGTTTGTGAGGTTTTTTTGCACTCACACCTCCCTCAAACTCAGAGAGGAAGTGTGTATGCGAGTGTGTGCGAGTGTGTGCATGTGTGTGCGCCTGCTGATGGTGGAGAGAGCAGTGCGGCGGCACAGATTAGATGAGATTAAAGCCAGTCAGAGGATCAATTAGAGGCAAAACATCAGACGGCAACACAGCCACGGCCAGCGACAATGAGATTAGCCCTGAGGTGGAGCAGAGAGCAGCGAGCAAACATGTCTGTGTGTGAGAGTGTGTGAGTGTGTATGTGTGAAGAGAGGAAATGAAGGTAGTTGGAGAGAGAAAGCACACATACAGTTTTCCCGAAACAAAGGGAGAGAATAATAAAATACAATTACAATTCATTGCAACTATGGTTTTATTTGTGTAGCTTTGGCTAACATTGGTTATAATAAAATGGTTCTTTTCAAGCTAACCATTGAGACCTGAGGGACACCACTTTGCATGGATCTGGTTATGGAAGGGAATTGGTTCTCAGTAAATTCCACAGTTCATTTTCATCATTCAGAGAAAAGCAGAAGACTGTCACATGCTTCCAAATGATTATGAACCGTTTCAAACAAAAGAGCTAAAGTCTCTCTCCCACAGTTTTCTCTTTCTCTCCGTCTGTTCGGTCATAAAGGGACAAGGACAGATAGTTCAGCTTTTTCCCAGAATACAATTCAGTGAATGGTTTGGCACACACTGAACTGAAGTGAGAGCGGTTCCTTTTTTGTATTCATTTAATCAATCTTGTTTTTTTTTGACAGCAAGAATGATCATTGAACTTGACTGATCTCAGCAACTTTAACGAAGCCATGAAACGAGTTAGAATTCACCAGAATTATATTTAATGGAGGTATTTTATATTGAGAAAGGTGAGAGAGAGAGGTGGTGGATTTGGGGGAGAAGAGTATTCATTAACAGAGAGGGGAAACTAGGGCTGGGGAATATATCAATCACATATCAATATTGTGATATGATAGATTTTGTAGTAAATATTGGATATCCTAACTTTGCACAAGTGTCCTCTTTTCCTGGTTTGAAAGGTTTCAACACATTAAAGTGATATCATTCCAATTTATTTGTATTCAGTCATTTTAATCCATGTTACTGATGATTATGAAAGTTAGTGAACGCACCAATAGCTGACAGCAAAATATGTTAATATAATGATACCTAAAAGAAACCACAGTAAAGATTTTCTTTGTATATAAACACAAACATGTAAGAATCAAATCGCACATTGCTCAAACACACTGGCAAAATGACACAAACCATCATGTCTGGTACACACACCCACAGAGCTTCACTCACCATGATATAATGGCGCTGCATCTCTGACTTCTCGCTGGCCAACTTGTCACACTCGAGCTTCAAACTGCGGAGAGAGGAAGAGGAGAGTCAGACCTTGTTATTCAGCTTGACAGTCTTCCACTGTAAAGTGCTGACGCCAGGTGACTTCCACCCCCTTCATCATTATCACCAGCAGCTCTGTCATGCCTTTCATCATCACTTCTTCGACCCTCATCACCGGCACCACCTCCATTGTCATCATCTGAGCTGTCCTCACAGCCTCCATCATCATCATTACCGCCGCCGTCATCATCCTCACCTTCACTAGTGGCAGCGTTTCCACAAAGCTTGACAGGGTGTCGTTTGACACGAGGAGGTCAAACCCAACTCCAGAAAATGTCTGGAGAATGTCTGCTTTCTAAATCAAAGAAGATGCACTGAAGAAAAAAAGTCTAAATATAGTGTTGGGAGCATTTCTTGCGTCCAGTCCCAGTGACAGCCATTAGCTGTAATCATGTCAGCGCTGATGTCACGCGAGGCGACAGGACAAAGGAGGACACGTCAACAAGTCACCCTGATCGTGAAATGAAAAAGACAGAGGGGGAGACAAATTCCTCTCGCTGGCTTTTGACTGAAGCAGCCAGTTACAACGTGCCAGTCTCAGAAGGCATCATGCGATGTGAGGACAGGATAAGACTCAGATCACATAAAGATATGCGCAGGCACACGGTGGATAGCTTCAGATTTAGGATAAGTCTGAAACCTGTTTGATGGTGTGTGTATATTTATGCTGGGATGTTCTTCTCAGCTGTCTGCAGGAATGACAGCTCGATTAGAGTGAGCGCTGGCTGATTCTTCATCGCTGTTAGTCTTAACTGGCAGGCTGAACACAGTGTAACACAGGGCTGTGGGCTCACGCTGTATTGTGCTTCTATAATTATCACAGCAGCTGCAGTGTTCGCTGAGTTAACGGCAGGGACCACACTTGTTTATTGATTCATAGTATAACAGTGATAATATATGATTATCCTATTTAGTATTTGAAAGAGTTCATGCTCGTGATTATGCTTTAAAAATACACAAGTATTTATTTTGCATTTTCCAGTGCATGCTGAATTAATAATCTATTATCCACCCCCACTGAGGGACTGGGGTCTATTCAACATGTATTGGGGACATGTTGTTGGCACACACACATTCATGGCACACAATGTATCAGAAGCTAGAAATCCCTAGAAGTCCAATCAGAAAAGACTGAAGTTAATTTTAAACTCAGGACCTACTTTCTGCATGTTGAAACCATGCCACCCAGTTTAGAATCTATTGCGTGAAATATTTATTCTAAAAAAGAGCACAGACATCTTGTAATGACCCAGAATCGTTCTGCTCTTATTGTGCTACTGAAAAACTCACTATTCAGTACACTCAATACTCAGAACCTCTTTCAAAATATAAAAGTTAACGGCATAATTCACTGTGATCAATTACCTTCGCATAAGTCTCAGAAGTATTATTACTTCTGGAGTCGAATGAGGACAAGCAAAGGCCTTGTGTGATGTTATCATTATTTCAAATTAGCTTTAATTGCGGCGCATTAAAAGTAAAAAAAGCTTTGAACAATTTAAAACTAAGTGGTAATTATTCAGCCTAACAGTGGTGATGGTATTGTTTGAGGGCTAACTACTTGTTTCAAATGCAGATATGGATCAGCTTTTGAAGGTCACCCATTATGCAAAATCCTCTTCTTCATGTCTCTTCTACATCAACATGTGTCCCCTCTTCTTCATGTCTCTTCTACATCAACATGTGTCCCCTCTTCTTCATGTCTCTTCTACATCAACATGTGTCCCCTCTTCTTCATGTCTCTTCTACATCAACATGTGTCCCCTCTTCCTCATGTCTCTTCTACATCAACATGTGGAAAGAGACTCTGAAAGTTTCAGGAACAAAGATTCTCTCTCTTTTTGTCCTGATCCATTTCTATAAAAACCTGTCTGAAAATGATCTGATTTTGGCCACTTTATGATGTCATAACGATTTTTTGGCTTGTGTAACCATTAGCCAATCAGCAACCAAGGTCCCCCCCCCACCTTATCATCTGAATCTCCTCCTAGAGCACCATTGTGTTCTTTGTAACCAGATATCTCTCAGAGGGGCGTGGGGAGGGGCTCCTTATTTTCATCTAAAGTAACAGACAGAGAATCAGCACTTTGGAAACAGGGCTGAAACAGAGGGGATTATGGGTAATGCTGCAATGATCTGTTTGGTGTTTGGAGCCAAACACTTCAGAGACATGTTTTGTGTATATATATATATCGGAGACCTTTAATGATGATACTAGTAAACAATAGAGAGCAGATGCAGCCAGATATAATCCAAAGAAGATGTGCAGGTGAGAGGCGCATGAAGGCCCAACACATATTACATGTTAGACGCTTTTATCCAAAGCGACTTACATACTCAATACTGTGGGCAATCCCCACAGGAACAATTTGGGGTGAAGTGTCTCAGGGACACAACGACATGCTGACTGCAGCGGGGTTTGAACCTGTGACCCTCTGATCCGAACACCTACGGACAACCCACTACGCCACACACCTCCATATTTAAAGTGAGGATGTGTTTTGTTGTATGCGAACACAGTCAGACACTTCACAAGATATCTGTGGTTTATGCCATGGCACGCAACAGATATCCAACCTGAGCAACAGTCATGTGTTGAGGGGGTGGGCGGTGCTTCTTTGTTGGGCAGCTTTATTCTACCACCTATTCTTTCGTGTGTGTGAGCAGCCTCCACTTATCCAAAACACTCCCCTTCCCTCCTACATAAAACCCTTCCTGCTTTCCCTGTGTACATGCGTAGGCTGTGTGGTGGGTTGTCATGACGACTGGCCTCCCCGCTGCCAGCCTACCTGGGATTGGCTCTGTGCCTCCTCTGATTGGTGCTCAGCAGCCCCCGGGCCTGCACCGCTGCTCTCAAACGACACTTTGATGGAGTTTTATTGCAGATTCTTCCATCTCTAAATCGCTCCTGCTGTCATCTTTATTTTGATTTATGTATTCCCTGATCTATTTATGCATGTGAACGAGGGGAAGGGATAGGGGGTGGGAGAGGAGGCGGGGGTGGGAAGAGGAAGACAGCAACAGCTACAATGCTCGCTACTATCCCCGGGGGAACGCCTGCGGTACATTTGCCGTTTAAAGGCTTCGGCAACAGACAAGCGCGGCGCAGAAGCAAAGTGCTACAAAGCCTTGTCTGTGGCTCCCGAGCCCCCCCCCGCCTCATCTCAGCCCCCCGACTGAGTCAATAGACACTGTATGCATGTTCTGTATGCTCAGACAAAAAAGGTTTTCTTTCAACTGCGCCCTGGCTCTCTGAAGAGGGTTAAACGGTGCTGCTCACCGTTATGGGAATTACAGAAACCAAAGGCGAGGGAAAAGACGCGCCGGGTGTTATTGCCGCTTCAGAATCCTCCGCAAACAACAGCGAACAGACCAGAGCGGGGATTTTGCTCACAATTTGCCAGGCTTTCATCTGCCTCCGTCTGTGTCTGTAAGCCGCGGAGGAAGGTTCTGGGAGAACAGGTACAGAGGAACAAACCAACCTCCTCAGGAAGGAAGACGGGCTTCAAAGACTCCGCTCTCACAAAGAGAGGATCTCTCTGAGAGATACAGACCCCGTGGCGTCCCACCTCTTTATAGCAGCTATCAAACAGATCAGTTGAGGTCGGCCCGGGCACTTTTGGAAGTGCCTCAGACTTCTGGTACTGCAGCGGTATTTAGGCAGATCAATGGCCGAGGGTAAACGATATTGATTTAGGCATGAATCAATAAAGGAAGTTGCATCAGTGAGCAGTGTGGTGGTAGAGTTGAGGAAAAGAGGAACAAAGGCAGACTTCTTCATTTTTATCACAGTTGACAAGCGCGTCTCTAAAGCCTATGCTACGCTTTTCTGCAATTATTTATTTAAAGAGTTATTTCCAAATAATTTCAAAAACTGTTTTAATTCTTCAAGCATTGAAACAATTATTCTGCTATGATTTATATCTGGGATTTCCATTACTTTCAGTCAAATGTAATTTAAAAAGAGCTTAAAGCAGAGATTATGATTACATTGGTGACTAGCATGGATGTTTAGCTAGCCCTCTGTAATGAAGCAGAGGATTGGGAAAAGAAAACGTTCTTTTGAACTGCAGATAAAAGTCAGGATCAGACATTTAAGGGGGAAAATGGGATAGAATCTATTGTTTTAGTTTTTGTTAACACACTGATGTCCAGAGGAACTGCTAAATAATATAGTAAATATTCATTATTTTGTCATTCATTACAAATTGAGTGGCTGCTTGTAGACAAAATGCACATGTTTGCATTGCTCATCTGATCTACTGTACCAACGGTAACAGTAGCTAGGCATTCAAAAGGAATGTATTAACTGGAAGAGTGCCAACTGAACACTGTCTTTACGGCACCTATAATTAGTTTCAAATTCTACATTTCATTCCAGGGAACTTCTTTGGAAAGACCTGTAACATTGTGTGAAATTAAGAGTTGAAAAAGGCCATACGTTCATATTAAAACCCATTTATGGCAGGCCATTTTGCAGCTTAATTCTGCACTTTAACATTTGCTCCTGTTACAAAATTGCGTTAGAAAAAGGCACACACAGTAGGGGTGTAACGGTTCACAAACATTTCCGTTCGGTACATACCTCAGTTTTTAGGTCACGGTTCGGTACAGCAGAAAAAATGATCACAAAACATCAAATATATATATATATATTTTTAATTATTATTAAACTGATAATAATGTATTCACTCAAATAAATACTAAATATAATAAAATAAACATTAAGGTGCAGCATTTTGATGAACTGAAATAATCTGTATTTGAACTGTACTAGTACCTAAGCAGCCAGTTTGACATTATGACTTGCTTGTCATTGTATTTTCATGTTTTTTTAAAGAAAGATGAACTTGTCCACATTGCTTGCCGAAAGGGCAGATCTGCTGGCACTAACAATGTCTCCTGATGTGGAGAAAACCCTCTCGCTAGGGACGGAGGTAGCAGACACAGCCAGGTAGCGCTTTGCTAACATGGCAACATAAGGATATGTGGCGTTTATAATAGCTTTGGCTCGGTCTGAACTCTCTGCGAGTGGTGGAGGCTTACATGCTAGCGGGAGTTGGGTTTGCACTTCAGTCTTTTGGTACCGGTGATATTCACGTTCGGGTGATGCCTTTTCAAATGAGCGTGCAAGTTTGATGTATTGCCAGCCGCGTAACCAATGTTAGTTGAACAATGCCGACAAACAGCTTTGGTTCGGTCCACCTGTCTTTGTCCGTCATCCTTGAACGTAACTGCGAAACCAAAATGTTCCCAAACCGGAGACTTCAATGATGCTGGAGGATTTTCAGCTCAACTTTATCTGCGTTCGCCATTTCCTCAAATTACTGAACGCATCCCTCTGACCAGCTCTCATAGTATGCCTCTCGTCCAATGAAATGACTTGCTCGCTCTATGACGCGTTGAACCCAATGTGAGCAAATTACTCTGAATGCTGCGACGCAGCACCTGAGATTACTTCCAAAAAGTTGTTCACGTTCTCAATTTTTTACGTTTAACGTACCGAATATTTTCGGTACGAATACGTATACCACCCCTAACACACAGTGATACGTGTGTTGCCTACAGAAAGACTCCTTATTACAATGAGCTGAAGTCATCAGGTTGTGGTATGTAACCGCTTCCTCTTTGTATTGTGTGTGTTTGCATGTGTGTGTGCAGGGAAGTGTTTCTGACCGCACCTGTGGTATTGTGCTTGGAGGAACTGGAACTCATCCTTGATCCTGTCACAGGAGTCGGAGGTTGTGAATTTCAGCTGCTGCGATGAAGCCTGCCAAAGAGAAAAACACAAACATTTAGTGAAATTAAAAAAGACTAAGAAAGATGAGAGCAGAGTGAGAGAAATAATTAAAAACATGCACATTAAATCAAGCAGTTTTCAATTTGATGCAGTCCAATGGGTACAGCATTAATAAGAAATTGGTTGCCAAGTATGTTTCCACACATAAGTGGCCAAATGCATCAAACCTTGTCACCTCGAGAATAAAACTGAGCGTAGAAAAAGCAGAAACACGCATTCCTATTGTTTCCGACATCTTTTTTTAACCCCATGCATGCACTGTTCTGTACACACACACACACCACACACACACACACACACACACACACACACACACACACACACACACACACACACACACACACACACACACACACACACACACACACACACACACACACACACACACACACACACACACACACACACACACACACACACACACACACACACAGCACACACACACACACACACACACACACACACACACACACACACACACACACACACACACACACACACACACACACACACACACACACACACACACACAACAAAATTAGCCATAAATGGATGTTGACACTCCCCCTATTTAACTTTCTAAAGACATAACGCAGACTCTTTCTGTCCTCGGTCTGGCTCCGGCTGTACAGTGACAAAAACCGTAAGAGTTATTACCCCCGGCCATTATGAACAAAAGCATATGTTGTGACCCATGAGCGAGTCAAAGTTATTATCCAATGTCTGATATTATTTTAAAATTCCTTGATGGCGCTCCAACAAATGGTGACAGTATATAACTGTCTTGCTTATCCACTTTTGTATTTAATAAAGAAAACAGTTTGGACATTAACTAATTGAAAATAATTGGTAATGATTGCCATGGTGTCCAATGTTTTCCTGTGTAACCTAGCACAAGTCTAGGAAGGGTTACACGTTCATATCATTTAGCCTTATGTTCACCAAAAAGGCACAACTGTGCACCAAATCGCCGTATGTCACGTGGAAGACTTTGTTTGGGCCTCACACAGCAAGCCACATCAGCGCTCTTTCACATAGCCGGGATGTTGCCATCAGCCCTTATTGTAATTCTGTCCACACTACATTCCCCAGGCAGCAGTGATGGCCTGGCTGTGTGTGAGAGCACAGAAAGCATCAAACCCAAATAGGGACAAAATCTCATTATTTCTCAGCAGGCTGCATAATGGGTCAGGTGGGGAAAGAAAAAAAGAAAAGAAAAAGAATCGACATTTCCCCACTACGATTGAGCAGGCATCAGGAAAAAAAACATCAGAAATCTGATTGCCGCACTTACAGGAAGCTAGCCCGCCGCCGTTAGGAGTGACCCATCGCTTTGTACCCTGCTCCCCGCAGCATGCCCCTCAGCTTCATTTTTAACTACAAATAGGCTGCTTCGCATTCACAGAACCATGGCCAGAGAATATGCTAAGCAACAGGATTGCTTCAGGTTGTGCTGAGCTTCAAAGCCTGAATATGTTTTTGCTTTGTGGCTCAGCAGGCAGCGACTGGCTCTAACATGGTTAAGGGTTGGGGGGTGAATTCTTATTAAAGCCTCCCAGGGTAAACATACATACTCATGTTATTTTATTGGTTACAAAAACAACTAAATTCCAGTCCTGCCAAACGGGGAATGTGACCTCAGCCATTACACACACTGTCAAATGTCATGATAGGGGCTGACATTATATTTCTGCCCCCACACACACATAAAAAATAACCCCAAATCACACAAGCCATCCGCTGCTTGGAGACAGAGGCTCCGACTGTAAAGCAGAATAACCTTTTTTTATTATCTTTCTGGCCGGTATAGCATAGAGCAGCAAACAACAGCTTGGGTCTATGCCACACTGAGCCTGTGTCAACACAAAGCACTTAGCTACAGGCAGCCATGAAACTCACACTGCAATAACGGTACCCTGCACTGGTATGGATCCTGAACACTGTGTGTGTGTGTGTGTGTGTGTGTGTGTGTGTGTGTGTGTGTGTGTGTGTTAGGGCTGCTCAATTAAATCGTATTTTAAATCGCAATTACGATTTTGGCTTGCAACGATTATGAAAACAACATAATCGAAATAAAACGATTGATGTTTTCAAAGTAAATGGATAATCGTTTTTAATAATCGTGATATCCTAGTGCAGTGGTCGACAACCAGTCGATCGTGATCGACCGATCGATCGCGAGTGTGGTGCGGGTAGATCGCGGACCGTTAAAAAAACAAAAGAAATAAAAATAAAAATAAAATAATAATGTTTGAAAAATACGTTTTTAGATGTACACCTATCATCCACCACCCCGTTAGCAGCCAGTTGATTGACATATATTTGAGACACCTCAATAATATAATACATTAACCGTGCTTTACGTGAACCTCATTATGACACGAGAGGACGGCAGGACTGCAATTTCCCGTGTTCAGTGAATACAACAGAGGCAAGTCACCAGACCAATCAGAGAGTCGCATGGAAATACACGTGTGCTTGTGTCCTTCAAGCTCGGCTCTGTGTGTGTGTGGCAATAGTGCATTTAGTGTGATGGAGAGAGAGGTAGGGAGAAGGAGGGAGAGGGAGAGAGAGGGACCGGTGCTAGCGGGGACCGTGATGTTAGCATCTGGTTAGCTAGCTGCACTAACGGACATAAGGAGCTGTTTCCACAACAAGCTGGAGGAGAGTCCTCCCCTGTCAGACTGAGGGGCTCAGGTGAGCTAAAGGACTCCGAGTGTTTAGAACAGTTTTGTCACAAATTATTCAAAAGATTATTTCCGCGGCACACCTTCATATGATCATTATAGTTATACAAACAATAAGAGAATAAATGAAAAACAGGTATGAAATACTATATGGCAGTAAAACAAGAATACAGTTTAAAAGGGGAGTGATTTGTAAAATATCCATAAAGAAAAAGTAAATCTGTTTACAGTTCTGTTTCATATGGGTGTTGAGAGATGGATCCATAGATCTCTTCATGTTGCTCTCAAAGTGCACCAGATTGATGCTTTCAACTTCAATATTTAAAAAAAAAAAAATCTTCCCGGGGGAGCATCCCCACGAACCCCCCTAGAGGAGGTGAGGTCCACCCCCCACTCATAAAAAATAGCACTTTACCCCTGCCTATATGCCGTGAGCTGATTATGGAGCCTTCATTGTAACAGTAATTCAGATGCAATTATATAAAAGGCCTCAAATTGGAAGCACTGTCTGGGCCGTCTTTTTCACTCAATTCTGCAATAGGTAGATCTCGCCTTTCACCTAGGCCGAGGTCGGTGATCTCGGGCTTAAAAAGGTTGGTGACCACTGTCCTAGTGTGTGTGTGCGTGCGTACAGGTTGCCCCGGTGCCTGAGGGTAGCGTTGTTGCCCTAGATCCAATTTCCTCCATGTGTAGTGCAGTATGCAAACGTTTAAAATACCAAAGTTTGTCAGTCAACATCCCGGGGTAGAGGATTGCACCCCTCGGGGAAAACAGAGACAGACGAAAAAGAAGACGAAGACAAAGAAGAAGAGGATAAGGGAACAGAAGATGTGTAGACAAAAGTGGTTAACCTACAAGTATTGCCATCAACATAGTTCTTGTTCGGATCAAATATCAGTGAGAAGAATGATTAAACATATTGAGGTGAAGGTTTTGTTTATCACCAATATCAGGACCGTGTGAACTCCGGAACAACATCTCTCGGTTATCGTTCGTTATCTTTTATAGGCATAATATAGTTGGTAGCAGGCTTTTCTATTGGGGAGAGGAGTTCTATAAACCACAACATTAAACATGATCCCAGAATACGCTTTACAACCAGGCCATCCCCTTTTGTTTATGTAAGCGAGGAGAGAGTGGTTATAACGTTGGAGATATGACAGACCTGTGTATGTCAAACATTTCATTATATAATGAAATGGCTTCAGGACATGTTTTAATGTTGGTGTAATGGTTGCAACCAGACAGAAATATTTTTGCAGTGGTCTGCATCTGGGTGCCTGGGGGAACAAGATAACCGTCACACTTCACCTTCTACTGGAAATGTTTCACAGATTTCCAACATAGATCAGAACTCTCCAGCGAAAGGATGTTTTTGCTAACTCTATATTTGGCTAAAGGCTGGCAATCATTTAAAAAAGATGGCTGGAGGTGATTTTGGTGCACACGCTAGCTCACAACCCTGCTAACAGGAAATGAAGCAAGACCATTTAAAGCAGGGGTTCTCAAAGTTTTGATGAGTGAGGGCCAATTTAGGTACCCAATATTGGATTGAGGGCCGCCCAAGAAAAAACGGAACACAAAATAATTCCAAAACAAATCCTTTCTTTATTGTACTAACCAATTATACATACAGTATACATTAAGAACTTGCAGAGGACACAACGTTGGGTTATCTACAGACAGTGACTAGCTAAAATCGCTAGCTAACTCCCGTTACTGATTCTGATAACTTACAACACATTTTCCGCTTAACCGCAACTCGCGAGATGCCTAGTTGCCATGCAACCAGTAGTCTAGCAAACTTTCCACAAGCTGTCATTCATAATTTAGGAATGACAAATCAGGGGGCGCAGTTTTACCATTCTTAAATTCCATTCTAATTCTTACTAGATACAACCATGGAGGATTAAAATATAACGTATGCATTTCAGCGTGTCACATTAACTATCGCAGGCCGCCAGAAACATTTCCGAGGGCCGCCATTGGCCGCACTTTGAGAACCCCTGATTTAAAGGAATCATTTATAAAAAGAAAAACAGAACGCTTGCACCAAGTTCACATGTAATTAATGATATTGGAGGGTTTGATCATGTTTGCATCATAAATCTCAGTGTCATTGAGGATCTGTACCGAACAAATACGTTTAGCTAAGTCTGTAAGATATATTAATCGGCCGGGTTAGCTCACGATTCAATAATACTTCATTAAAAATTGCATTCATAACATTTTTTAGCCTTTAACGAATATTTAGCTTACTGCAATTTTTTTATATTTAATATA